ATTTTCTGGTTCTATTTTTTGCACAAGGATAAAATGCAGAGTTAATTTCGGGGGTGTTGTCCGTAGTATTTGAAGCCATGGCTAGTAATTAACTCACCCTAAAAAACAAGTGGCCAATTGCAATATGCATTGTTTTGGTTGCTAGTAATAGACACTACAAGAAAATAGGGGTGAGCATAATAACCGAAAAACCGAACCAAAACCAAATTAACCAATATAACTGAACCATAATAACCAAACCATTTTAAAAACCGTTGGTTCGGTTTCCGATTTTTGTTAACCAATAACTAACGGTTCGGTTATGGTTTTATAGGTTAACCGAACCATTATTAACCGAACCGCTAACCTTATATTTTAATATATAAAAATTATAGATTATATATAAAATAATATAGTCAAACTTATTTAAGACCCATTAAACGTTCAAAATATAATTCATTAATCCTCACTTATCATGAGACGAACGAGAAATCAAACCATCAAAGGCTGATCATGCAGACACACACAATCTTTCAATCATGCATTGAGTTAGATTATTAATTAATGTTGTAATTCCTAATCAGCTAATTCTACAATTTGTAAACATTATTCACAATTATTTTAATCTTCACACTCATAATCCTAATCGGAGACTTCTCACACCGATAATCCTAATCAAAGACTGTTTTGACTTTATAAACCTATTTGAAGGATTTTTTGACTTTATAATTAAGAATTCTAGGTAAGTTAAGTTTTTGGCAATTCTTGACTTTGTGATATATTAAGAATGTATTTTTTTTTTTTGAATTTTTTGGCTTTTTTTATTTACTGCTTTTGACTTAATCACATTGAATGTATATGAGTGATTGGTTTTTTTATCCAGATAACACATAATATGAATCTTTGACTATTTTATTTTATTATTTTTGATTTAATCACATTGAACGTGTATGAATGTTTGGCTTTATTTTAATGTTAATATCAGTTATCAATATATGAAATTATTAATGTCAAATTTTTTTAATGTTTTATATTTTTTTTGAATGTTTTTTATTTTGAATGTAACTATGTGTTATCTCACTCTGAGTATAAAATGTACACAATTTTTCTATTACTATAAGCTAGGTTATAAACATTGGTTTCAGAACTTTTTTGTATTCTCTTTTCATTTTCTATGCCAATATATTTTCGCAATTTATATTAATTTGAACATTATGGTTAATCAATATTAACCATTAACCAAAACCGTTTACCGACAAAAACCGTTAACCATAACCAATATTAACCATAGCCAATGGCTACCAAAATGCATTAATAAATCATAATGGTTATGGTTCGGTTTTGACCAATAACCGAACCAAACCGCCCCATACACACCCCTACAAGAAAAGGAGCCTAGTAAGAAGACAAATCTTTTTACTTAACTCTAGTCTAGTACACTACTAGAAAAAGGGTGAAATATCTGACAGCCAATTCTGTCGAAATGCCTACTACGAAGAAAATTTCGATAGAAAAACCGTCTCAAAGTAAGGCATGGGTAAAGATTTGCGACGGATCCTTTGACAGGTTACGTCGATAATTACCTACGCATTTCCGACAGAAATATTTACATGACATTTCCATCCGAATACCGAACGATGTCAGTTTTGACTGGTTCCGATGGACCACCAATGTATGCTTTGTCCGACGGATGTAACTTTTGACTGTTTCCGACAAAATCATTTGGTAACAACTTTTTCCGTTTAAAATGCAGAAAAAATACGAGATAAACCCACATTTTTTTGCCAAAAATGCAGAAATAATTGAACACAATAATCAAATCCTGTTTTGCAATTCAAACACAAAAAATAATAACCATAGATCTAAAAATTGTCCAACATAAGTGTTGACAAATGTCTAAACCACAACTCAAATAAAGATAAGTTCAACAAGTAGACTAAACTAAGAAACTTTTAAAAAACGATGATGGTGGCTTATGTGAGGGTTATCAAATCTTTTCACATGCATCTTTTTATGTGTTTTTAGTTAAATTTCTCTTTCCCTTTTAATTTGGACTTGCATTTCTTCGCATCTTTTTTTTTTCAATTTTCATTTGTTAAGTGTGGAGGCTAAGTTGCTTATGTGTGGAGCAGTTGTTGAAGCTTGGAGTCCGCAGGAGCAGGATGATTGCTTATGCTTTAAGCAGCCTGCATTGCTTAAGTAACTAGTACTGCTTGAGCGGTCAATAGTGCTCTAGCAGTGGGAGTTGACTTGGGATTTTCTTGGAGGGCAATTTTTGACTCACACACTGGGCTAGATCTGTCAATTTTAACTACCACCCATGACGTTTTCATTATTATTAGGTTAATCACTATACAAATATCTCATTTATTTTAACCCTAATTTAATGTAGGAGTGAAGCCTTTTACGAAAGAAAAATATAAATCCTTCTCTCTTGTTTGCCATGGACAAAGCCAATCTTTGTGATCGTGGTTCCCACGTAAATTGATTATCTTATATTTTACTTATGAATTTATTATTGTGTAAGAGATTGTATATCATTTTTCGAAGTGCTTATTTACCCTAACAGCTAGTAACAACCGGTATCAGAGCTATGGCTGAAGACAGGAAGCAAGGGCGGATCTTTATTAGGGCTAGGAGGAGCTGTGCCACCCCGTGATTTTTTTATCACAATTAGTCCCTATACTTTAATTTTATACATATTAGGCTCAAAAATATAAAATTTTGGCTGTGGCCCTCCCTGCTCATCGATTTTTATACATATTATATTTCCGCCCCCCCCCCCCCCAAATAAAATGTTGAAGCTCCGCCCCTGACAGGAAGGTTAACATCGTCAAATTTGCATATCATGATTTTGGTTCAGGAAAATTTGGTTTAGGAAAATGCAAATCAAAGGTTACCTATATCAAATGAAGTTACACGAGGCTTTGGCCAAAAAGAAACTTGAAGTGATGAAGCAGGTGGACTGTAATCTCTTTGGATCGGCGAGCTCTTGGCATGGTGAGACTATCATTGGCAAAGAACGTTGCTTACAACATTGTCAATGAGAAGACTACATATGGTCTGATTATAGAGTTATCCGATATGTATGATAAAGCGTCAGCAGCAAACAAGGTGTACTTAATCCGACAGTTCTGAAGATGAAGAATGGTAGATCGGTGACTGATCATTTTAATAAATTCAACACAATCGTCTCTAGACTAATTTCAAATGATATTGGTTTCGAAGATGAAGTTATGGCATTTCTATTATTAGCATCTTTGCCTAATAGTTGGTCCAACATAATGACATCAATTAGCAGTTCGTCCGGAGGTTCGAAGCTTACTTTTGAAGTATTCACGATTTAATCCTCGATGAGGATGTAATACTACCAGTCCTCAAAATAGTTTTTTATAACCATTTTGGTGATCTTTGACCTCTCAAAAGTAGAATTTTATTTTTATCGTATAACGTCAAAACAGACCGGTCCATAATGACTTGAATTCCTTCTTCCATCATTTTTCAGAGCCTAATGATGATATTTTTATGACTTGGAATGTAATTTACTTCATTTAGAAGTTTTTGGTTGCTATTTTTACAATCGAATAAAATCGATCATTTTCCTATAATAGCAACAGTGGAACTGTCATCAAATCCCACGTGACTCGTAACATTTTCATCAAACTCATGGAATTTTGAGCAGTATCCCGTTATATGGTTATTAGCACCGTTCTCGAGATACCACAACTCATACTCAACTCAACTCTCCCCCGATGCAAGAAGATTAACATAAATCTTATCTTTTAAGGACACCTTTCCCTATACATATTATTATGAGATTCCACTACAAATCCATCTGTTTCGCACCCTCAAACCACATCTACCACAGACATTCCAACTTCTGAACCAATATCTTATGAAGTTCCATCAAGCTTTTCAGAACCACCTGTTTCTGAAGATATTGCTACTACTCCATCGGGAAATGTAGCTTCTCCATCTGTTTCTGATGATGATTTTATGGTCAATGATGATCCGAAAATCTCTGGTTCATTTGAAGAATTTGTTGCTCTTGTATTGGAATCTCCTCTGATTGACGATGAAAGTGATTTTGATGAGGAACATGCAAATGATCCCATGAGTAAGAGAGATTACAAGGCGCTGAGCAGAAAGCTTAATCTCTTATTAGTTCGCCATACTCAAGTTTTCTCTACATCAAAGTTTGACTATATGCAGCAAGGTCACATGGAGACTGAGAAAGCTCTTTTTGAAACATCTGCGAAGTTGATTTCTGATATAACTGTGAAGGTTGATGCTGCATTTAAGGAAGTCAAACAGGCTACTGCGAAAGTAGATCTTATTTTGAAGGAAGTCACTGAGTCTGTGAATAAGAAGCTAGATGCAATTATAAATGATGTTAAGGAGATTCTCACTTTTCTCTTAAAAAAGAATCAAGATCTTCATTATTTACTTCAGAAAAACAATGTTGGTCACCATACTTCGGTATCCAGTTCTATTCTTACTCTGACTAAGAATTATGAAGGTGAAGAAAAGTTGATGGATGTTACTGCTGAGAAGACTCAAAAGGTCAAATTGTTGAAGCATGAATTGAAAATTGTTCATGCTAATCTTGCGAAGATAGATGATGAACTTTTAATGGCGAAGAGCAGTAATCATGTTAAATCTGTGTTTTATATTTTTCTTCGCATCTTTATCATGTGTTGTCAGTTTATCATGGATTCTTCGATCCTAACATATACCCGCTTTCACTATTTTTGAATTCACTCGAGATTTACCTGCTTAGTTTTACCCCTCTTTATTTTCAACTTCATTTTTTCTATAGTCACACACCACTGTTTATTCTTCTTTGTGGGCCAACCATGCATGTTCACGTTTAACGTTTTTTTTTTCTACGTGTCAAATGTCATCAATGAAAGCAGTCTTCCTACACAGCGTCTACATCTTACTTCCCACGTACCACATTCATATGGGACTTATTGTTATTGTTTGAATTTGATGATGAAAAAGAAAATTTCACAAAACCATGATACAAGTAATGGAGTAGTGTGGTCTTAACATGAATTTTCTCGTGTTATATACAAAGCAAAATTTAAAATAACCTAACAATAATTAACCACTAGAACATTCCTACATTGGTGTTCCTCATAGCTGGACTCTTATAAAAATTTAGTTGAAAACAAGCTCACTAGTAAATTGTTTATAGCCTCACGTGGTATGATTGAACAAAAAGGTTCAATTTTCAATATATTAACTCAGCTGATGGAAGAAGTGCCATCTCAATCTCTTGCAATGTTTTTCCTTTTGTTTCCACAACGTTTTTCCTCACAAACAAAAATCCCACTAAACAAAAACTTGCGAAGGCTGTGTATAGAATCAATGGCCCAAGCTTCTCCAGCATCCGCAAAAATAGCAAACCAACAAAGAAATTTATAACCTGTAACAAATGGAAAATAACAAAAATATAGAATTTTAAACCATGTATGAAAGATACTATAGGATATATAATTAAATATAATAAACTAGGGATTTACCCAATGTACAGCCATGCAGATTGCCATGGCTTTTGCTCTGATTCGGCTTGGAAATATTTCTGATAACAGGAGCCCAGGTACCGGCCCAACACCCATGGCAAATGATAAAACAAACCTGGAATTAAAGCAAGAGTAAATTACATTTTTAGTCCCTGAGTATAGTTGAACTTTTCAATTTTAGTCCCAAAAGATGTCTCTTGGAATTTTGGTCCTTATTTGAGGTTTATGTAGTAGCATTTTGGTCCCTTCCAAGTAAAATTATTATACTTTGAAAAAATCAGCTATATTCAGGGACCAAAAATAGACATTTTACTTGAAACAATGACCAAAAATGTTACAATATCATAAATCGACCGAAATTGCAAGAGAACCTTTTGGGACCAATATTGCAAAAAACAGCTATATTCAGGGACCAAGAATATAATTTTCTTTTAAATCAACTTATGGAAAAGTTCCCTTTTTGTTCTTTGTTTTTTTTTTCCTTATTATTTTATTCTTTGATTCTTTTATTATTTCACTCACAGTAGAACACCACCAACAGAGAGTAACACCACTGAAGAGCCTGAAACCAAGGAACTTCCTGCAACTGCTTGCATGCCCATTGACATTGCCTGAAACAATCAAAATAATAAAAACATTGTCAAATTCGAGGTTGGAAATAGTCAAATGTTCATTTTTTAATTGGTAAAATTGACAAACATTGTGAAAATTGTTTGTTGCAGTATTAGGGTAAAATGGACATTTACTCACTTCCACACAGTCTATTCCATCCAAAAAAAAGACTTTGTGCATACAACACTTTACACATTCAGTCACTCTATTCATAGAGGACTTAATGGAAAGAAGAAAAAAAAAACAGTCCGTTAAGACATAGATATACCATGCCCATGAAACTTCCAAGAAGAAGACCTTTTCGGCCGAGTTTATCCATTAAAATCATTGCAATAATTGAACCTGAAAAATATTAAATAACAAATATATATATATATATATATATATATATATATATATATATATATAAAGAGTGATGAACAGGAACAGATTCTTGGTGAAGAACAATATATAACCTGATAAGTTGACTACTCCAACAGACATGTTTGCGACATCTGAAGGTACTCCAGCACTTTTGAAGACAGTTGAAGAGAAATAGAAAACAGCATTTATTCCAGATAGTTGTTGCAGTGCCAGCAGAGCAGACCCGATGAAAACCACTGGAGGATTGTAAGACATGTTTGTTTTATTTTATTATTATTAAAATAAAATGTTTATTTCGATTGGGAGAAAAGTGTGGTGGATGTGGATGTGGTAATATTATATTTATACCTCTGAAATGACGTCCATAAAACAACTCTGAAAGTTTTACTAATTCTACTTCGTCTCCTCTGTCTGTTTTGGATAATTCTGCCATTGATGATTTTACGTGTAGACCTCCTAAAAGCCTCCCGAATTCCGCTTCGGCTTCAGCACTTCTTCCTCTCTAAATTAGGGCAATGGGCGAAAAAAAATATGATGTAGAATTGTTTAGAAATAAATTATGTGTAAATACAGTCAATAGCTAAACAACAGCAAAATATCAAGATCAAGGAACATTTCAGATTTTATCGATTCCTTCCATAAAACTTATTAAAACAATAACCCTTAATTCTGCTTTACATGTCCCAAAATTATTCGCCAATTTACCATCGGTAAAACTGATTATATCCGATTTTATTTGTAAAATGACATTTATTCCAACCAAATGTGAGAACATAGGGAAGGTTACTGAGAGTATATGATGCAGAGCATATTGAATACTTAGCAGAGGAAAAAAAGGGGCGAAAGAAGCCCAACTTCAAATGGTCATTACTTTTGAGTTTCAAGGAACACTTTATATGGATGGAAAGTGTATGCCAGAGATCACAAATAGTCAAAGTCGAAAGCGGTTTTTCCCCACACACTTGTTTTTACCCCACTTGAAGTTTCACACAATTTTGGATTATTTCTCGTTTTAAATTATTCCGTTTTAATTGTAGGGGGGATTACATAAAAGAGGCTAAGTTTACACAAATTTTCGATTTTAACCATGTTTTGTTTTCTCATTAACGTCACTATAGTTTCAATTTTGTTGCAAATTTAACCAATCAACCTGTTTTGTTTTGTTTTCAGGTATTTCATGTTTCTCATTTGCTGACTAGACAAAAAGCTAATGTGGCTTCCGCGTATGATTGAAGTTGGCAAATATTTGGGTTAAGATGAATCCTTGCGTAGATCTGCACTCACTTTCCCTTATTTCTTTTTTTCTTCTCTTCGTTCAATGGCTTCCCAAGGTCGCTCAAGTGGTTCATCATCATCACAGAGTGATGTAAGCAAGGCAAGGAAGGTTTCCTTTAGGAGATGTTACTGTGGACAACGTCACTAACGTCAAACAATCACCAACATCATGGTTCGGCCAATTACCAAAATGATAAGAGAAAAGCTTTGGGGATCATACTTTATTTTTCACAATATCAAAGAAAAGAAGAGTACTTCTTTTATAAGAATCACCCTAAGGGTTGTAATAAGTAAAGTGCATTGTGTTGAGAAAGTACCCTAAACCAATTTGAGAAGATACCAAATTTTCGTTTAACTAATTGATCCTAATCTATATAAAATGTTTCATAAAGCCCCTTCACTTAATTAGTTGTAATTTAATACATCATATTTCAATAAATATGATTTGTATTAAACTTTACTATGGTTTGTAATATAAAAACATTTGTAAAATTTAATAGAAATAAATATCTATTAAAGAAATAAAATTTATTTAAACTAAAATAAAGTTGAGGGGGAAAATAAAATATTATTAAAGAGGGAGGGGTTAGATAGACAAACTTTTATAGTATATTGATCACTTAGTGGTCAATAAAAAAAGTAAAAAAGCTATCCCCTCCAACGGTGTTTAGTGATATTAAGTGGTTAAGCAAATAGTAAAAAAAAAAAAAAAAAAAAAAAAAAAGAAAAAAGAAAAACTTGCATTGGCGATGCTCTAAGGTTAAAAGGGATGTTCTGTTAGAATATATCTACTTTTCTGTGGCCTTTGGACCATTTCTGTAAAGAATTTTCTGTTAGTGGTATATTCATAATTTATACCATGTAGTATGCCATGACGACATAACTGGTCCCTCAACTTATGTGAGATGTTACTTGATGAATGCAACTCTCTTAAATTCAGAAATGTGGTTATTTCCTTAGATTCTATGAACATACAAGACTGGGGTTACCGTTCCTATTCCATAACACCATAATTTGGTCTTGTGATATAACCATCAAGTCAAGATTAACAGAAATACGAACCAGGGAAGGATAAACATGTACCAAGATTATTTAAATTTATATATATATATATATATATATATACATATATATATATATATGCACCCAAATTGCATTTGGTGAACAAAAGGAGAAGAGATGAGCAATCCTTACCTTCATAAGCCAATGAGGACTTTCTGCACAAAACTCCATCAGAAGAGCAAGCAAGGCTGCAGGAACTGTAGATACCCAAAAGCACACACGCCACCTAATCCCATAATCAAGAGAATGATTATTACAAATCCAACTGACTAATCAAAATATATAAATGATTATAAGCATGCATCATGTTTCCTACCAACGAGGCACGTCCTTTGCAGGGATTCCAATGAAGAAAGAAGCTATAAGTCCAAGACACGTTGCAATCTGAGTGAAGCTCCCATAAGTGCCTCTCACAAAAGCTGGTGAAACCTAACTTTTGATAATAACAAGTCAGTAAAAAGACAGATAAAAGAATTAGATTAAAAATTTCATACCTCTGTAATGTACAAAGCTGCAACAGGAGGACAAACACCCATAGCAGTTCCAACAAGAAACCTTCCAAAAAGCATACCTCCAAGCCCATCTGCTGTAGCACTACAAGTTATAGTTTTGATATTATTAAATGCCAACACTATAAAAGTTATAGTTTGAAGGATACTTTAGGAAGATTAAGAGCATAAATAATGTATACACCTACCTCACTGAAGCACCAATTATCATTGGTATAGCACACATTTGGAATGACCTCCGACGACCAATCCCATCAGCAATCCATCCACTGACTGTAGACCCAACAAAAGCACCTCCTAAACATGTACTTACCACCAAACCTTCATTATGCAAAATTATGGAATCATTAGTTAAAGAATAGGAATATAGGATACAGAAAAAGTTTATTGTAAATTGTAAAACATACCTTCAGCCATTGTATCACCATGAAAGTTAAGGTCCAAGGATATACTTTCTAGCGTGTCATTAACCACCCTGGATTCAAGATTGAAATGTAAAGAAATTGTAAAGTCAAATAGGCACTTGTTAATGGATTTGTGGAATTAGAATAGCTTAAGTCTTGATAAGTGGTGCATAGTTGCATACCCAAGGTGGTAGCCAAATAAGAATGAGGAAAGAGCTGCAACAATCACATGTGGTAATGAACGAAGCCAAGGGGGATTTCCAGATCCTTTTGCAAAATCATGTGGAGTCTCTGAAAACACATGGTTCAATTAGTATGCTTCTATATAGTATATATAACAACTCCAAGAAATAATAGAAAGGGATCATCTGCAAAATTTTGACCTCCAACAAGATCACATGTAATATCTGTACAACTAGAATCTTTAACTAAACTATATTAGGATTTAGGAATCATCTTGGATTCTTAGATGCATTTGCACACACTTTGGCATGCATAGAGTTGGAAAGAGTGATTGAAGCCATTATATCGACCCCAAAATGGTTTGATCTACATACAAAGGTATCATACTTCTGTTCTCTTACAGATAGTTCAGGTTACTTCTAGAAACCAGGTGCAAGATATTCACAGATGTACTCTTTCTCAACTAATAGTTACAGATGCAGCATTGTATTCCATGTTAATATATCCAATTGTATCTTATTTTTAAAATATTTACACATTGTTTACTAGACAAGAGAGATTGATGACCTTTTGTATCTTCAGAACTGGTGATTGCCATGTAAATGTATATTGTCCCCCACTTAGTTACATAACAAATTAAACAATAAACAGGAGGTCTCAATAACATCCTAGAGTTTCCTGGATTCTTTTTATATCACTCTAAAGGCAGAGTTGAAGTACCTTCTAAACCATCTTCTATGTCTTGTGCATTCAGGCGCTCTTTGGAAGAAGCACGCTTGTATGTACTGTGGATATGATCCCTTTGTCGCCCTCTCATATTCAGATGCAGCAAAGAACCTGCCACCCAGACTACCATAATTAATCAAATCATCATTCATTCAGTAACAGACATCAATTAGGAAGCCATTTCAACAAATAAACAGAATCCCCTGCTGATCCCAGTAGTATCACAATTCAAATTGTGGATCACAAACAATATGATACACATCTACTTCAAATCATCAATACACTCACACAGATACTAAATCACGAAAAAACTATGCCACTCCCTGAAGCTCTTATTCTAGAATACTCTGTATAACCTTTCACAACTGTTTGAATCGATTATACTGCCATAAAACACAGGCGAAAGACAGTGCTTATGTCTATTTGTCACTAAGCTAATTTAGTTATCTAGATCGCGAGTATAAAAACAACATTACTAAATTCGTGAAAGTATGTAAGATTCGATAGATTCAACTAACAGAGAGCGAGTCATATGGCAGGTGTGATCACGAAACGGATGAAAAATACATAAAACTATCGTATTTCTACGTTCACATGCGTGCTATTCCAGGGTTACAAAACGTTATCAAAAGCGCATGTAGACCTGTGAACATGAATCGGAGCCCATTCGTGATTACCTGGATGAAGAAAACGAGATGTGGAAGCCGTCGGTGAGTTCCGGCGACAGAGTCGGTGGAGAATCGGTAAACATACGCCGATGTGGAAGAATAGTGACAGTGGATCTGTCAGAACTGAGAAGTAAAAGGGAAGTAAAGAAAAAGGAGGCGAAAAATGTGGTAGTTGTTCAGGTGGGGACTGGGGAGGGGGGAAGAATTGTATGTCGACAGGTGTTAACGTGCGCCGTGGGTTATGAAAATTGAAAAGTTAATTTGAATCCGTACAAATGAAGAAAAAAGCAAGTGTGGTGGGTTGTAGATGGTAGTCGACGGAAAGGAGGAAGAGGAACAAGAGATTAACACCTGTCCCCTACGATCTGAAACTTAGATCCGTTTAGGCTTTGATTTTCAATTTCGTCATCAATGGCTGAAAGGCATGACGCGTGGAGAAGATCCCAAGAATGTTGATACTCGTCCTAACTCGATAACTATTCTATGTTTGGTAAAGTTAGATCCTTATGCACTTGTTTATTATATTTTGAGTAAAATGCAATCTGGTCCGTGGTTTACTGTTTTTTCTTTTTTCAATTTAATCTAAAAAAATAAGCTGCAACAGTTTAAAAAGATAATTTTTTTATATTTTTTTTTAATTTTAATATTTTATTAATATAAAGATAAGATGTCATATCTCTGCTATCCTCATAAATAAGAATGATTTTGCCACATGTCTTCTTCTCTTCATTTTGATACTTGTCATTTTCTAGATTTTTTTGAATTATTTAATATTCACTTGTTATTTTTATAGTTTTTTTTTCTTTTATTTAAATTACACCTATTAAATGTCACCTCATATTAATTAATTTTATAAATATATTAATTAATATACATAATAACTTTCTATTTATTAATTCCTCTTTCTATTAATATATTAATTAATATATATGTATATTAATGTAGATAGTACACATTTGTGAATTCATATTAATTAATTTTATTAGTATAGATTAATTAAGACCAAATTATATAAATAGTCCATGCGGTTTAACAAATGTCACAACTCAGTCGTTACTTATTTTTTATGAACATGGTCTTTGTGGTTACCAAAACTTGTGTGAATGATTTTTTTTTTTTTGCTTACACCGTTACTTTTGGTTCTTTTAATAAACTCGTATAATACACGGGTCTTACACCTAATCCTAATAATAAAATACCCCTTCACCAAAACCCCACACCGACACCAAATCCTTTCAAAATCATGATATCCAGAATCAAAAGTCACTGTCTACAACATATGTACATGAATATTTAAGATAATATGTAAACACAAATCTTTTCAACATCATGATATGGAGAACACCAACTCTTTTAAAGAGTTTGATAGAAACATGCAATTTATCACACTTATGTTGGTGGAAAATGGTTTAAAGTTTTGCTATAATAAAACAAATGTTGTTTATTGATGCCGTTAAAGCAAGTTCATAAAACAAGATATCTTGATGATAAGGCGGGAAGAAGTGGTATTTTGTCTTATTGTTTGTTCTGTCACATCATTTGTCACACATTCCAATTTTTTGTCGGGATAATGACTTAAAAGGGTAATATATTTTTCGATTAGTACATATTTGGTCACTGTGTTTTTTTGGTCTATATTTACCCCTTTCAACTTGTTAAACTGTACATATTCAGTCCTTATAACCGATTACTTCAGATTAGCCGGAAAAAAATGACTTAATAGGGTAATATATATTCTCCATAATTTATTCATTTTATCACTTATCTTAATATTTTTGTACATATTTGGTCTTTAATATTTTGTTTTTCAAAAAATAAGTCATTTTTGTTTTTGTATTCACTCAGTACTTATGAATGATTTCTTTATCTTTTTCTCACGACATCTTACGTGGGACAATCATTTTATGAGGTGTTTGGGGTTATTGATGCTTATGTCTATCGCGATCTGGACTTCTTGGTTGAGTAGGCCTTGTGGTTTGGCTTACGTTTGAACGTCGTAACTTTTTCATACGATATCAGATTTTAACGATCTTTATATCCACGTGTTCGTTTTTTGGGTCTACTACAGCTTTCGTTAAGATTACTCCGGTTAAAATGTAATATGTTTTTACTTACGATTTAAAAAAAACATTCATACATGCATTCATAAAAAAACGTATGGATATAAAGATCGTAAGTAAAAATACATTACTTTTTAACGGGAGTAATCTAAATGAAAGTTGTGGTAGACTAAAATATGAACGCATAATTATAAAGATCGTTACAATCCGAGATTGTATGCAGAAGTTATG